CGGTTGTTGTCGGTTGCTCAGACGGGCGCTGACTTGGCAACTGGCTTCACGGACCTCGCTGGCCAACCTGAATAGCAACACAGAAAAAACAAGGATCGCCACGACAATGGCGAGCTCCAAGAACACCATGTTAACCATCCTCCGCTACCAGTGTAACCGTTTGAAGGTATTCTTGGAAAAGACAATGCTTGCTCAAGGCAACACAACTGATATAGGGCACTTCGTGCCCTAAGGTGATAACGCGCGTGCTGACAGGATAGGGAAAGGTGCAAGATACAGAGCTAGAGGGCAGATAAGGTTAGCGCTAACAGGGAACTGTTACAAGCGGGTTCTACAATAGGGGGCGCCCTGTCCTAGAAATGGGGCATTAGTGAATTATTGTGTGTATACATAGGCAGTGCGCCTTACCCTGCAATGGTGCTCAAATTCCCGGAATAGGCAGTGGTACGCAAAGGTTTTGTTGAATGATTGGTTTTTGCCATGAAACTCGGAGCAACAACGAAACATATGGGGACGAGTTAAGAGTAACTCTCCACCACTGTAACTAGATTATACAGTCAGAAAGTGCAACAACTAGGCACAAAACTGACAGAGTACTGAGACATTCGACGTCCTGACACCTAGCTGCAACACATCTCCGTAGCGCTAACCCACAGCCTTCCAACTGGGAAGGTTCAAGGTTATGGAAATACCAAAGAGGGGAAGGCAAGCGCAACGAAAACGAGCACAAGCTACAGTCCCAACTGAAGAAAGAATGTCGATTGTTACTGGACGATGACGAAACCAGTAGGCGATTTGACAAAGACGACATTCTTTCTTCCGTTGGGACTGTAGCTTGTGCTCGTTTTCGTTGCACTTGCCTTCCCCTCTTTGGTATTTCCATAACCTTGAACCTTCCAAGTTGGAAAGCTGTGGGTTAGCGCTACGGAGATGTGTTGAAGCTAGGTGTCAGGACGTCGAATGTCTCAGTACTCTGTCAGTTTTGTGCCTAGTTGTTGCACTTTTTGACTGTATATAGTATCTAGGTATAGTGGTGGAGAGTTACTCTTAACTCGTTTCCATATGTCCTTTCCTTTCTACTTTTTTTATTGGCTCCATACCCGAATTTCAAACAACGAAACAGCCCTACTTTAATTCCTTTTGTGTAAGTCTTGGGTATTGTGTAGATGTGGGTTGATGGAAATTTCAGGTAGTGTACGTAAGAAATGCAACGAAAAGAAAGAAAAATGGTCACCTGCATGTGAATACTGCGTCAAATTGCATAATAACATGAATCTGATGTGAAGAACACGCACAACATCATACAGCATCGCTCAGCAACAGAAAAAACAAGAAAGTTGAACTTGCCTTCTTTCCACAGTTACCACCCCAGTCCTGTTAGACTACGAAGCGTTATCTGTGGTGGACGTCGGCCTCTTCAGGGCATGGGATTTTGGGTTTCTTGTACATTGTTTTGGCTGTGATTTGCCCTGGTGTGTTGTGCCTTTTTTGTGCACTCTCTGATCTGCGTCCTTCTCTTGTGCCTTTTGCCATGCAGGAGGCAAGCGAGGCCTACCTGGTCGGCCTATTCGAGGACACCAACTTGTGTGCCATCCATGCCAAGCGTGTGACCATCATGCCCAAGGACATCCACCTGGCACGTCGCATCCGTGGCGAGCGGGCATAAGCTGTTTCTGGCTCACTGATATTCATGCAATAAATATCTGCTGCTTATACTCGTACACCCATATGCATGTAGCGTGCTTCTTGGACTGTGCACGAGTAGGTTTTGGTGATAGATTTTCGGTGTGTCACATCAGATCTACATATACATCATGCAACTTACTTTGGTCACGTACTTGAGTGGTAGCATATCACACACCAACCTTGACACAGTAGCATGCCATAGTGGTTATTTTTAGTGGTTGTCTCGTATTTGTCACCATTAATCCCATCTGCAGAAAAGGGATTGTGTGTGTTGTTGTGAGGTACTAATGGTGTACTAGCTGGGCTCGTACTTGTAAGCAACAAACCGAACTAGCGCACACACGGCACTGCATTGCTTTGTACTGCATTCAAGATTGACGACTCGCTTTGTTTTGCTGCGTAATCACAAATGGCACCAGCCCATTTTGCTGAAAAGAAAACAAATATTGTTTGCCCTGTTGTGCTCTTCCAGAAAACGGATCGTGCTTCAGCAGTGTTTCTTTTCGCCCTGTTGTGCTCTTCCAGACACCGGATCGTGCTTCAGCAGTGTTTCATTTCCTTTCGTAGCTTTGCTGCCAGCCCGAGTGTCACCTCGACACTGTATTTCTTCAGTATGTCTGACCTAACTGTCGACAGTGTCAAGGCAATGCCTTGCCTTGCCAAGCCCTCCGCGGCGAGATTTCTCAGCCCGGCTTGAATCCGAAAGGAAACTTAGTAAAAGTATTTTACAGGACCGTTTGCTGGCACAACTAGCCCTTGGTAGTGAGTTCTGCTACGGCCAGGAGAACCAGCAACATGACAGTGCGGACATGGCTCGCGTGCCCAGAAGCCCGACTGGCACCAATGCCTTCTCCGCCAGCTTAGGTGACGCGAGCTCAACGGATCACTGCGCTCTCGTACGCTCAGAGCAGAGCTGCTGTTAGGTCAAAGTGTGGCTGCAGTTAGCTCAAAGTAGAGCGTCTGTTAGCTCAAAGTACAGCCGCGGTTAGCTCAAAGTGGAGCTGCGATTAGCTCAAAGTAGAGCTGCTGTTAGCTCAACGTAGAGCTGCAATGCTAAATGGATGAAATATAGTGCAAGGCAGAGCCGCAGCAGCCTTGTGAATCACACCTTTGTGGGACGCCTTATCAAATGCTCCAGCTATGTCTACTGCAAGAACATGGGCTGAGCCACCCGAACCGACAGCTCAACTCCATTTATGATGTAGGAGCGTCAGGACATCTGCAGTTCCAAGGCGTCGGCCGAATCCATATTGCTTTGCAGACAGAACATTGTGGCGATCTATAAAGTTCATGATGGCGAGGTTCACAATGCCTTCCATTTCCTTCGAGATAATGTTGTGTAGGGACACTGGTCGGTAGTGGCTGATGGGTGAGCGGGAGTTCTTCTTGTGAACTGGGACTATTCTGGCCTCTTTCCAGTCTCCCGGTTGTCTTCCAATAGAGAAACACGTGGCAAAGAGGCGTGCTAGGGGGGCAGCAAGCTCGTTTGCACAAGTCTTGAGGACAAAAGCTGGGATGTTGTCAGGTCCTGTTGCTTTGGAGGTGTCAAGCGGACGGAGGGCGCGGCCTACAGCTAGTTCCCTGAAATGCACTTGGTGCAAGCGGGCGGTAGACTTAGGCTGTACATGTTGGAGAGGCTTATCCTCCAAATCATCCACTAGAGCGCATTTCCCAGCAAAATACTTCCCAAACGCCTCAGCTTTGCTTCTATTGGTGGAGTGTTCATTGCCATCACGATCGATGCTAGTAGGTATGCCAGAGTTGCGTCCATGGCCACTGGCTTACTTCAGAGTTGTCCACCACTCTTTATCGTTTGCACAACCTGCTTGCAGTCGGGCTCGAAGATACTGACGGGGGATTGACTTTGCAGCAGAATGTACACCCATCACAAGTTTTTTTCGCAACGCTTGTGCCCAGACTCCTAGCCAGAGTCATAGATCTACTACAAGTAGAACTAGTAGAGGGCATTGAAGACTTGAAGTGAACTAGTGTTTTCGGATGCGAACACAGTTCTATAATTAGTTTGCGTGTACATGCATATTTCTCTGCAATCGACTGGTCCCGTACGGATCCGATTTACCGTCCTCAAGATGGCAACAAAATTGCAATAGTCTTGCACGAGTACTGGAACTGGAAGTAACAATGACATTAGGTAACCATGGTAACTGGTTCACTAGCTACTACATGACTGGAGTACTTGTGGTGGAAGATGGCCATTGTACGTCACTGACACTATGCGCATAAACCTGTAGTTAGGCGCCAGGCGAGATTTGCGTGACACCAGATTCTAGACTTGAACTAAGTTTAGTTACTTTGTTACTTACCACCTTACCGGTACTGTCTCACTAGAGTGAGAAAAGAGCGTGTTATGATGTGCGGAACCTCTCACTTCTTCTAGCTACAAAGCATGTACATTGTACATGTAGAGCCGTAGAGGATCTAGGCTGCAGAGTACACCACTTGCACTGCAGTCCGCACTGCCGCCACATTATCATCATCATGCATGATCAAGGCTGCGCGCCCGCCTCGTGCGCTCGCGAGGGCTAGGGAGTTGTGAATTCACACGAAAATCCCATATTTTGCAAGAATATGCTAGTTTTCGAAAGTATATGCTAGTTTTCTGCAAAATCTGCTGGTTATGCTCGTGCAATGCTAGTTTCCAGAAAGTGCTAAATATGCTAGATGTAATGCTAGCATTATCCGCCGGGGCCTAGCAACCTACCAGCGGAAATGGTGAGATTTGACCAATCAGAGGTCTTGAAAATCAATCATTTTCCAGTGAGCGAAATGATTTTGCCAGATATAGCGGTCAAGTTTCGACGTACAGTCAGTATCGCCTATAGCGCTGGTGTTTGCTTTCGAGCATTTTATCACTAGAAGCGATATATTTATTACTATGACCGATAGTGCATGCAATATATGCGAGCGGGGTGTCAATTGACTCAGTTGTCTGTGCGCATACATGTACGCACTGCATAGCTGGCTACAGTTCCTGACACACAACATCAGCATTTCCTCACGATGGAGGCATATTTCGCAACTTGTACAAGCAGAACGCACCAAACTGCACTGGACAAGTAAGTTCTTCACGAAGAGAGTAACACCCTGTTCTCCTCTGACACCACTGGATTTTACATGTGTACATCAATCACTAAAGCCGATGCAAAAATAATGTAATAAAGTTCTTTTGAAATATGAATTTCATCACTATAGGCGATTTATAACTATAGAGGATTATTAATACACGCGATAACTGTGTGCACTTAGTTATGACAGATGAAAATGAATTTGAGAAATTGATCACTCCAGCCGGTATAATATTAGCACTATAGCCGCCAACCTTATAGGCCACACTGACTGTACAAGTATCTCGTTTGTGTTGTGGAATTTATTTAGTTGTTCATTGCCGAAGTCGTTGAGAGGTCTAAAAAGCAAATTCTGTAAAGTGTTTCTGTGTCAGCATGGCTAGAACAAAGCAAACTGCCCGAAAGTCAACTGGAGGAAAAGCTCCAATGAAGCAGCTTGGGCTTGCCACCTTGGCTGCTCGTAAGAGTGCTCCCTCACCTCCTGAATTGAAGAGGCCTCACAGATACCGTCCTGGTACTGTCGCTCTTCGAGAAATTCGTCGTTACCAGAAATCCACTGAGCTTCTTATCCCCAAGCGGCCCTTCCAGAATCTTGTTCGTGAAATCGCTCAGGACTTTAAGAGTGACCTTCGTTTTCAGTCGGCGGCCATTGGTGCTCTTCAGGTAAGTCTAAAGTCTTTGTTTCGTAGGCTGTGTTCGCTTTCTTATAATTTGACGAAGCTGCTGTCATTTGAACATGAGGAAACTCACGGCTCTACAAGACTACATACATATACTAGTAATATAGCGCTATGGACACTGGCCATCGCCTAACGCTACTAACGGTAAAGTGTTTCCTCTGAGACAAAAATGCGATAATACTCATAAAAGAACACACTTCAGGCTCATTACAAACATCTTGAAAGTTTTTGTCTTCACAAGTATACTTTCAAGCCTTCTCATCAGGTGAAATACAGGCAAGGGAAAAGGAACAGGAACAGTGGATTAAATACAGTAAAAAGGTGGTAAAACAGCGCAAAAAAAGAAAGAAAGAAGATAGCTAAAGAAAACAGCGAAAATTGCAATAATGACACAAAGGTGCAAATGCGAGAAAACTCAATAAGCGCGACACGTAGTGCGACAACAAGAGACAACCACTGGACATACATGTAACGAACGAGGTTTTGACGACCTACCTAACAGCCTAAGTGTTAATTTGATTTGTTTCTGCTTGCAAAGGCTGAATGTTTTGGAAGCTGTATACATCCACACAAGGAAACCCAACCTTTGCAAGCAGAAACAAATCAAATTAACACTTAGGCTGTTAGGTAGGTCGTCAAAACCTCGTTAGTTACATGTATGTCCAGTGGTTGTCTCTTGTTGTCGCACTACATGTCGCGCTTAATGAGTTTTCTCGCATTTGCACCTTTGCGTCATTATTGCAATTTTCGCTGTTTTCTTTAGCTATCTTCTTTCTCTCTTTTTTGCGCTGTTTTACCACCTTCTTACTGTATTTAATCCACTGTTCCTGTTCCTTTTCCCTTGCCTGTATTTCACCTGATGAGAAGGCTTGAAAGTATACTTGTGAAGACAAAAACTTTCAAGATGTTTGTAATGAGCCTGAAGTGTGTCCTTTTTAATGGTAAAGTCTTTTGCTTAGCTTTTGCATAGTAACGTCATTTGCGGAAATTTTATTGGGGGGGGGGAAGGGAGGGGGAGAGGTGTCCTCTCGATATACTACTTTCGTACTTGTGGGTGTCAGCAAGAGCTCATAACCCCCAAGATTGTGCAACGGGCATAGACCCAGCGCTCGGCGAACTTCTTATATTTCGTCATGCGCAGATTGTCACCCGAGGTAAATTTGGGTTCTTTGCGATTTCTGGAAACTATACCCTGAACCGCTGCTAACTCAAGGCTGTAGCCTCGACTTTTCTAACCTTTTTTAAGACATTTCGGACGTACAAGTCGTGCTTCCTAAAAAAAATCTTTCTCCAAGAATCCATGGACAACACGAGAGGAAGAAGCGAGGACGCTGTTAATAATTTTGCATTGCCTTTGAAGACAATCAATCTGATAGCTGTGCAACTCGGCCGAAAAATGCTGCTTCGACGTATTCTCAAGTTCCTCAACCATTTGAAATCATCTGCGAGGAAAGCACCGGAAATATGCCAATGGCCTGGGGACTAAATTGTTCTTGAAGAGATTGACTGCACTGGTGGAAGAAGAAGGCGAAGAAGAGTCACCATTGCATCGAAAAAAAATAGCTTTGTCTTTAGGATCTGGTGCTTCGTTTCACTTTTGCTTCTTGAGGCTCAGACTAGAATCGCAGTTTAGGCAGTTTACCCTGTAGAAGCATCCTTGTTTGACTGTTAAGTTTAGAAGAATTCATCGGCGTGACTCATCGCACTGCACCACAAATGACGCAATGAAGGAATTCCGCCGAGCGGGCTCCCATACAGGGACTGAGCAGGAGTTGCACACTCTTGGGGGTTATGAAATCGTGGTGTCAGCAGTTGTGTTTGGGGTGCGCAACTCTGTCCAAAGTCGCGAAGAAACGAGTACTACCTCAAGAACTTGTACTAGCACTGCTAATCAAAGTCACAGTACAGTATCAGGAGTGGTTGTGTACTCTTTGTTTAATTGTTCACAAGAAGTACTCAAAATACTGTATATGCTCAAATCTTTGGTATGACTATGAGAGCAAAAGTCCAGGTTAAGGGAACGGGAATGTTATTTTACTCACTGAGAAAAAGTTCCCTATTCGATAATGTAGTTAACGAGCATGTTCTGCAACAGAGGGCGGCCTGCCCAAAAGAATGAGGGAGTATTGTGTACACAGAGGCAGTGGGGGGACTACACCTTTGCCGGCCATTGTCGCATCTATTCACAAACTATCGGTTGTAGTATAGGGTAGGGATATAGGATCGCCTTTAAATTTGGAACACACACTTCTTATACCACACTCCTTCTACTGTAGTGAACACTTGATACAATATCATAAGATCGCTCTAAAACATGTTACAGCTTGTTCAAATAGGCCTGTCGTAAAATTTTGCGCACGCAAATTTCCGCGCAAATGTTCAAGAATGCTATCAGTACAAGGAATGAAGAGAAGTCTTAGCTGGAGTCACAGCATGTAAATGGATTGCACCTGGGTGTTCTTTAGTGTGGCAAAAGCAAAATAGCTGGCTTGTGAGTACGCACAGAGGAAATGCCGTATCACCGCAACATTATCAGATTCCACAGGCATGAATTGTCACTGTAGATCACTCCAACATGTTGATGTTAGGCAAACGTACTGCCTGGTGTCCACCGGATTCGGAAAACCATTACATTCCATACAAAATATGAAGCACAAGAGAAAATATAGGCACAATATCCTGAAAATGGGAGGAAAATGACACTCAAAACACACAAACTGCTCTGCTTCATAAGCAAACAGTAGCTTGACACCCAATGATTGATTGATTGATTGATTTTATTTCACGGACCCTCCAGAGGCAAATAGATGCCTATCGAAGGGAGTCTCCTAAGTAAGTATGGAAAATGAGAAAGTATGTTCGTAAGGGAGAAGAGGTAGACGATACATTAGAATATAGAGTACAGAAGAAGTAAATTCAGTACTTCGGGTAGTACATTGCATGCAAATCATAATGAGAATTAGAAAAGCAGCATTGCGTACTACTATAACTGACATATGCACAAACTAAATGACTTGGTCGGAAGGATCCGGTTTGGCTGTGGCCTTAGTAATAAAAAAGAAAAAAGTGACACCTTCCTCCTCTATAGTAGCCTCCTTCAACCCTTTCCTCTTCCTCCTACGATTCTTCCTCTTCTCCAGAAGCCTTGCGTATCGAACTGGCTATACGGGTATTATCCTCCAGTTTGAGTGCCTCCACGGTGTATTCAACAACGGGGCATCCTGCAGTCTGAAGAATCTGGGCTAGTGCCTTGGCTCCCGTGTTGAAAATGCACACTGCCAGTCCAGCAGCAAGACGTAGTGTGTCATCTCCCGCAACTTCTCCTTCGCACACATGCCCCAGATCATAGCGTTAAAGCTCTCATTGGCATTTTGCGTGGCACCTGTGTGGCACCGGTCAGGCAGCGGTCCAGCAATTTTTTGCTGGCAAGCTTTATGTAAATTGGTATCAAAACCTTGTGCACATCATTTGGGATACTACGAATTTTGACCCCAAAAAGGTGAAATCTGCAATAGTGCTCAAATCCCCGGAAATGGCGGAGCGTAGTACGCAATAGTCACACAAAAGTGTTGTCTCATGATTGGTTTTAGCCATCAAACTCTGAGTCACAACGAAACACTCCTAATTTAATTCTTTTTTTGTACCTCCTGTATTGTGTACATGTGGATTGATAGAAATTTCAGGTAGTGTACGAAAGAAATGCAACGGAAAAACGAAAATGTTGAACGGTCGCATCCATGTGAGCACGGCATGAAAAAACACAGGAACCTGATGGCCAGAACTCGTACAAAACCATACAGCATCACTTAGCATGAAAGGAAACGTAAAAATCTCAGACAACGTTGAATTTACTTACTTTGCACCGTTACCATCCCAGTCATGTTAGACTTCTAAGCGTAATCTGTGGCGGAGATCGTCTTATTAAGGTCATAGGATTTGACACAGTCATATTTGGGTTTTTTCTTCAGTTTTCCTTTGCTGTGATTTGCCCTGGTGTGTTGGGCCTTTTCTGTGCACTCTCTAATCTGCATCCTTCTCTTGTGCCTTTTTGCAATGCAGGAGGCATGCGAGGCCTACCTGGTCGCAATCCTCGAGGACACCAACTTGTGTGCCATTCATGCTAAGCGGGTCACCATCATGCCCAAGGACATCCAGCTGGCACGTCGCATCCGTGGCGAGCGGGTTTAAGCTGCTTCTGGCTTACTGATATTCATGCAATAAATATCTGCTGCTTACTGTATACCCGTGGACTTTGTACGAGTAGGGTCTAGTGATTTTATAATATTTTCGGTGTGTCACATCTACATGTAATTGTACATCATGCAAATAAGTTTCGTTGCTTTGGTCTCGTACTTGAGTGGTAGCACCAACCTGGACACACCAGCATGCCATGATGGTTATTTTTAGTGGTTGTCTCATATTTGTCACCATTAATCCCATTTGTAGAAAAGGTATTGTGTGTGTGTTATTGTGGTGAGGGACGTCATTGTTGTATGCTTACAGGACAAAAACCGTGCGTGCCAAACTCTGTCAGGCACCCAAGAACGGAGCCCACAGTATTGTCTGCATTTGTGATAACTGATGGAAATATCTGTGAAGTGTGAATGATTGTGCCAATCAATTGTGCCTTTTCCCTTCTCTCCTGCCTCGGACTCACTTGTGAGGTCTGCATTTGTCGATGAGGATATAATTATGCGAAGTGGTGGGCCACCGATGCGAATGTAAATAGCTTGATGTGTTCCTAGACACGTCAGGTGATGCGGCCGCGAATCCCTGTAACCTTACTTTCCTAATCTCATGGCGTGCGTTGGGGGGGGGGGGGGGTAGGGAGCGGTCTAGGACAGTGCCTGTATTCAGGTTCATGTTGCTTGTATGCATTTACCTGCCAGTGGTCTGCTGGATTGCGGTAAACCTAATTATTAAGCTTCAAACTCGACAAATTACAACACTAAAAGCTGACAATCTTCAACATACCAAATTTTGATTATTCTTCTAAGGCATGCAACACTTCACATGACTTGTAATTCTATAAGAAATGCTATCAACCGACAACATGAGTTTCAACAACATACAAAACAAGTCAGTATCATGTCAGTGTACACAGTACAGTACATAGACGTCTATAGACCTCGTGAGATTGGCGGAGTACATGGCGGTGCACAGATCAGTCACTGGTCCTGGTCCTGGTCCTGTTACTGTGTACAAACGTTCCTAAGTCCATCAGAAATAAGTCTATAGCGATACTCCATACATATGGGAAAGGTATTGAGCTCCGGTCTATTAATATAAATTTCTTCACTATAGGAGACGGATTGAGCGAGCGGCGACGGAGTGAACACGGAATTCACGGCACTGCGCCAACGTGATTGTTTTTCGTTCATAGTTTAATGTTGCGTGCCAGGGTATTTCCCTTTGGCACATCGCATGCGAAATGAACACCAGCGGAAGCACGTGAATCCCAGGTTAGCTGGTCATTTTCATCGTGAGAATCGGCTGAACTGGAGCCAGAAACGGAAAACGAATGTGAGATCGAGTTCCTGTGCCATTCCGAGTCATGGTGAGGTACTTTCAAGAGGACTTCAAAGATGCACCACCGGTTCCGTCCTTATTGATTTGGCAGCTACCATGATTAAAATAATAAAAAGCTTCGTCTTGATTTTTGCCAACAGGCCCAGGATAATGAAACCATTGAGGTGAATTAAATAGAGAGTAAAATTCAAATCGCTATTTATGGAATGAATTTCGTTGCTCCTACGCTGGACGTCACGCTGTTCTCGCCGATATGACATAAACATGTCTTGACCATGAAACTTTCTTACTGGTTCTAGAATAGAAGAAACTTGTGGGTGGCTCTGGGTGGCGGTCGTGAGGCAGTCAAGGGTCAAGTCAGTTCACAGGAAAAGCAATAACTAAAGTGTGGGGGCAACCACTTCCTCATAGGATACACACCGAAGTCGTTGCCAATATAGATGTCTGTTACAGTTTGGAAAACTAGTGTGATCAAGAACAATCAATGGATTTGACTTGTTGTCCCTCAATTATAGTTCATTCAGGCCTGATCTTTTAAATAGTCATGCCCTTAGGCATCGTTCACTTGATTGCCTCACGCGTTATGGACATAGCTGAACTTTGTGTTGTATGTATGAACATATCGTACCGCAAATCACTGAACACTCTCCTCACAAAGGCATTTTTTCTAGTTCCGTTACGCAATTTCCCAGTTCAAGGTTAGTCAAGTAATGCTGGCATGTATGTGGTCTACAGAGAAAGAGGAAATAACTGAACGAAGACTCAACTACTTATCCAAAGCAATAAAAACATTGCAACAGTTGCTGTCAGCACGGTTCTACTTGAAAGAAGAAGATATAAACATGTCTGGTCACAACACATTGAAGCCAAGGCGACATGTAAATGGGAAAAGAAGCGCATAGGTTAGGTTTTGGCCAGCTACCTGGCCTCTGCGTACACCGCCACCACACCCACACACAACAGAAAGATACAGATCACAATAGTAGTGTGGTATTTGTTAAATCAAGGTGCAAGATAGAAGAGCTTAGCGTAGTGTATACATGAGCAAGAAAAAGGGGCATGCCACCTCACACATATACATGTACACGTATGTACCAGACCAACATGATGCAAAAAGTGAATCACTGTGTAAAATGGGGCCACCGGTTAATTAACCAGCCCGAAGCTGGCGGGAAACACCGCAGGACCCCGGCGGAGGCACATCCCTGAGGAAAAACCGGTTAGAATATCCCCCTCAGATAGCTGAAAAAACCGTAGCGTTCAGGACCTATCCAGAAGTGAAAATAAAGGGGAGGAAGATTGGGAAACTACAACGAAAAGAGAAGGACCACGATGAAGAGAAACATTTTGAGAACTCTGAAAATGGTGAAAATGCTGCCAACAAAACGCTTATCTCAGCATGGGAGGAAGTTTACATGGAATTATACTAAAGATTTTCAGCCACCATCTCATTCCGCCGAAGTGGAATATAAAATATATGGAGATGAAACACAAAAACTTGACGCAAAGAGTGATATGACTACTGCAGAAAGAAACTGATCACACAACATAATTTTAAATAGTACAGAGGAGTTATGTTGAAAACAGCAATAGGAGCGTGTCAATTATCCAAAACGGCTTCCTGCCCGTGACACAGTTGTGTGCAATGGTGCATCAATAAGCTGTAACGGATGTTCTTTACATGTCGTCGATTTGACGACTTTGAGATGTAAACAGTCAACATATGAATCTTGCAATTTTACTATGCATTTCACTCTGTCCCCGAGCCGTAAAGTTGATCTGTACCGTTGAATGAGTCCAAGTGATTTTTCATCCATGGTAAGCGATGGCGAGCAACAGCCAGTGAAGCAAATTTGCCCTTCACGCTCTAGATGGGACGTTGCTTTTCTGAACTGCTCATGCTGGCTGTAGATGGGTAAAGTCTGTGTAAGCTTTTTACCCTGCCTTGGAGTCAGAAACACCCGCGTTAGCCGCTTTCTTTCCAAAACAGGCTGCAGAACGTAGTACATCTCGCGCTCGGTCATGGCTACATTTATTAAGCTCCTGTCTGACAAATCGGCAACGATTTGGTCAAAAATTATCTTAAACTTGTCTCTTACATTTGCCAATATACACCTTACAGGCTTGTCGGGCTGGTTAGTAGAGTCACCGGAGCTTTCGGCAGCGTTATCAGAAGGAGTGGAGACAACATCCAAACACTGTCTTGGCTTGTCAGGAGAGTCACTGGATGCTTGGGCAGCGTTATCAGAAGAAGTGGAGACAACATGCAAACACTGACTTACAGCAACATCAAACAACTGTTTCTCTTCAGGCGCTGCCATCCTTACAAACAGAACAACATTAACCACAAGATCAACACTCTGCTCTCTTCTGAACCTGATAAAAATGAGCTTGATTTTTGAACAGCAAGCACTTATATACATGTAGAAGGGCATGAATCGTGCTTATGTCTGTTACGCTGCTCAAACTGGTTGCACGCACTCCACAGCGTGGGATCAATTGCGTGGATCCCGTCGTAGGTCAGGGTTCGCAGGACCGGCGCATTTAGCTTGGGTAATAATGGGCAGTTAAAATAATGGGCAGTTGGGCAATGGGCAATGGGCAGTAAAATAATGGGCAGTTCTTCTGAAAAATCCATGAGTGCAGCCTTGGGCTGCGTGTCTTCAGCATTGAACTCACTAGCACTCATGCTGAGATCGTAGCCTTTCTCCATGGAATGATATCAGAGCCCTCTACTGGCTCTAGTTCCAATTACAATTTACGTGAAGGTTGATGTATACGTGTCAAAACTGAAAAAACGAGCGGTTTCTTGAACATTCAAGGAAGCCCTAACGCCACTTGTGTGCGTGGATTGATCTCGGCTGTGAGCTGGCTTCTTGTCAAGTACAGTACAATTGTCGACAAAAAATCCGTCAAGTGCTATGGTAGCTAATATAGTAATAGCTATGCGCTAGAGGTAGCTGGACGAGCCGCATGCACTGACACTGCTAGTGCTAGCTTTATGCACTGCACATACGCTGCTGCCGGTTCTGCACTCTGTGCTCGACTCGTGTGCATGCAACAGGCAGAGAGGAGTGCTGCGCAGAATGTTTTAGTTCAGTGTTGTGCTTGTAGACCCTCTTAATGTATTCTTGCATAATTATATAGGCGAGACACACTGACAACAGTTCCAAGAAATGGCATTATTTTTAATGTAAAGAACAAAAATAACTGTAAAAGAAGTACTCTGTTCTTATCAAATCCTTTTGAACGATTATCATGAATTTCAAATGCACGCACATTATGTATGTGCGATAGCGGATGATCTTGTGCGTAGAGCTGCAGGCGAAACACTTCGCACTTGATAGAGAAAGTACATGACGTTATAAGAGTCCTCGATCTGCGAACACGGCACTGGGTTGCGAAATTTGCGAGCCGCAAACAATACCTTTCGATTCCCATGAATAACTTACTGTCCAAATATTCCTAGTGAAAGGTTTTTCACTTGGTTTCTACAAAAATATCGTGTTTGAAGGTATGTGCCGGGCATTTGAGTATGTACGGATTCCCCACCGCCACTCAAAAGGCCGCCCGTGTCTGCCAACGAGTAGGAAGCCGCGAATCGTAAACCACGCCTAGTCCAATCGCTACATGTATAATTATTATTGTGTTTCAAGTGGCAACTGATTCAATTTGAGTGGTAAGCCAGTGTTTTTCGGTAAAATGTGACGTTTCCACTGGGAAAACCTGCAAGAGAGCACCGCTAACACTATTATGCCAATTACACCGTGTGCCTGAGCATCAGCCTCGTCAGTTGAGCTTGAGTGCGCTGACGATGATTGTGCTTGAAGAGCACCATATAATAATTATCATCTTAGCAACCTACACGCCTAGCCATTGCGAGGTATACAAGCCGCAGCGTTTCGTGGGAGACACACTAGTCGTGAACACAAATAACTTCAAAAGATGACAGCATGAGCAAGCGTCGCTAATGCCTAAGTAGAACAGATCCTGAGGACCATCGGGCATCAGTCATTCCCAACGCTGACACCTGCAAACAAACTACTACTAGTACTAGTAGTAGTAGTAGTCCCAATCCCCGTTCTGCGCAGGGTAGTGCAACGAACTAGCGGCAGCGATTCAGGTCTTATTGTAAGTACCTGGAGCCTTTAGCATGGAGCACCAGATTGCCTTTTGGGCAGGGTTGAACTTTAGGTTATATTTATGTGTAATTATCATGTTGGTAATGCACCACACTGAACAATCTACACAAAATGTCTTTTTCTCTAGTTCCATTGCATGCTTTTTTAGAGTACTGTGAAAAGCCAGGTTAGTCTCGCAGTGCAGACATGAATAGGGGCTTGGAGAGGAAGAGCCAATGGCTGTGCGCAGATTCGAGCTGCTTAGCCATAGCAATAAAAGCACCGCAACACTTGTCGTGAACACGAATGTAGACGAACAAACCACTCTTGCTACGCCTAGAAGCAGATAGCATCAAAGCCGCGAACCAAGTAGACGAAAGCTACACAATATGAGTAACCCATTTTCACATGTACAGATTATTTTCAAATAGTTTCGAACATTCAGGGGAGAGACATGTACTTGCGGGTAACAGTGCTAAATATAATATACCTTTACTTATAAAAGAGAGGCACCTGTGACGTGTGTCTGTGTGTGTGTGTGTGTGTGTCACGCTCCTTATAAATAAGAGGCACCTGTGACGTGTGTTTTTGTGCTGCCCTGAGCACGCGAAGCGTGCGAACAGTGTAGCACAGTGTAGCTAGCTAGCGGCCGCAGAAGCACTGAGCACGCGAAGCGTGCGAATCGTGTAGCCACCACCACATGCTGAGCACGCGAAGCGTGCGAACAGTGTAGGTGGTAGCAGCCACGATCAGTACGAGTAGCAGTAGCAGCCGCGCGCAGAAGCACTGAGCACGCGAAGCGCGCGAATCATGTAGCCACCTAGCCTAGCCCTAGGCCATAGGTAGCACAGCAGCCGCACAAGCGCTGCGGACCACGTGAACCGTTCTCTGCAAATAGAAACATCTGCAACAAAAGGATACAAAAGATCTGCACTGACTGCACTCTACATCTGATCTGCAGTGAAGAGCGCATCGCACTTTTGTTCGTAGGTTTATGAATTTTTTGAGCCGCTTCATCCTCCACCAGGTGATGGACAACCCTGACCAGCCTCCCGAAGGCGTAACAGACGTCCCTCCTTCTCCTTCCAACCATGAAGACTTCAGCGGTCTGGCCACCACCACGTGCTGAGCAAGTGTGCTGTTCATGTACTTGCTTCACCCGCATGCCACATTCGGCCAGGCAACGCTGGCCTGGGGTGCTGCTAGTATGTGATAAAGGACATAGTACAAGTTGTCTGAAGATTGATATATGGCATGAAACTTTAAGTTACGACAATCTAAACGCGTGGTTTTCTGTGACTCGTGCAGTACAAGTAACATTTATGAATATTCGGCCTGGAGACAATAAATTTACTTTCAAAACAATGGAAAACAGGCAAAAAACAACGACGAGCTATTTTGAAAGCAGGCATTGAAACGTGTCAATCATCCAAAGCTTCGTCTAATAGTAATAAGCTTTTCAAGGTAATAAAATGGTGCCCAATGGAAGAGTGTCAGGGTTCCCGTCAAATTGTACATACATAAGCTGTAAAGGATGTTCTTTACATGTCTTCGATTTGACGACTTTTAGGGCTAAACGCCCAACAGGTGTAGCTGCAGATTGATCTAAGAATCGTACAATGCTTTTCACACTGTCTCCGAGCCCTAAAATCGTTTTGTACCTTCGAATGAGTCCAAGTGATTCTTCAACCACGGTCAGTGATGGCGAGCAACAGCCAGTGAAGAATATGGGTCCTTCACAAACTAGATGGGACGTTGCGTTGTTGAACTGATCACAGTGGCTGTAGATGGGTAAAGTCTGCATAAACGTTGTATCCTGCTTTGGTGTCATAAACATTCGCTTCCTCATGGCAGATTGCAAATCTTCGAACATCTTGCGCTCAGTTACGGCGAGATTCAGCACACTTCCGCCTGACAGCTCACTGACGATTTTATCGAAAACTATCCCATACTCTGATCACTGCCAAAAAACACACCGCCTCTTGATCTTGATCATTGCCGGGAGATTCACTGGAGGCTTGAACGTTGTCAGAGGAGGTGGAGACAACACCAACACACTGACTAAGTTTAGTATCACTATTTCTCTTCAGATGCAAACATATTTACTCTAGCAAAGAAAAACATAAACTTGACGATGAACACTATGACTTCTTCCGAACCTGGCTAAAAATAATCTTGGCATTCCACATTATATGCATACGTGTACACAAGGGATAGCAAAATTTGTGCTTACTTGTGCCTAGCTGCTCACGCACTGGTTACGTAGACAATACATCCTGCTACCTAGAACCAGTGCAGTAGGACTCTCTCCCCAAGGCGAGATAACGTCATATTCAAGTGAACGGAACTATTACTTGTGAGATGGCCACGTGTTCGCCTTTTGGTCACGGGTAAGTATCTTTCGGCAGGCATGGTGACTTGATTATTGTTCGCTGAGCTACATGTATTATCTCCATAAACACGCATAATGTGGCAGGGCCCAGCGCCGGCTATGGGCTGGTCATGACGCCGTATGAAGTGTGTGATGTAATGGAAAGATATGCCTGATGCCATGGGGATGCGTAGATCTTTTGCAACTTCTCGATTGGAGCGGAATAGTAAAGTACCGGTATTATAGTACTCCCTGCTTGTTTCTGTTGCTGAGCTTCATCAGAAAAATGAGACTTTGGGTGACACATTTTGGCCAATCAGCAACCTTCCAGCGTAAATGATGAGATTGGACCAATCAGAGGTCTTGAAAATCAATCATTTCCACGTGACCGAAATAATTTTGCCAACTAGCGTAGCGCGCTCGTTTCGACGTACATATAACCCTTTGTGTTGTACACTTTGTTTAGTTGTTCATTGCTGAAGTCGTTGAGAGGTCTAAAAAGAAAATTCTGTAAAGTGTTTCTGTGTCATCATGGCTAGAACAAAGCAAACTGCCCGTAAGTCAACGGGAGGAAAAGCCCCAAGGAAGCAGCTTGCCACCAAGGCTGCTCGTAAGAGTGCTCCGTCAACTGGTGGTGTGAAGAAGCCTCACAGATACCGTCCTGGTACTGTCGCTCTTCGTGAAATTCGGCGTTACCAGAAATCCACTGATCTTCTTATACGCAAGCTGCCCTTCCAGCGTCTTGTTCGCGAAATCGCTCAGGACTTCAAGACTGACCTTCGTTTTCAGTCGGCAGGCATTTGTGCTCTTCAGGCTAGTTTGATAGTCTAAAGTCTTTGTTTCAAAGCTGTGTTCGCTTTCTTGTAATTTAATGAAGATACTGTAATTTGCACACGAGGAAACTCACGGTTCTACAAGACTACATACATATACTAGTAATATGGCGCTATGGACACTGGCCATCACCTAACGCTACTATTAGTACTAATTAAAAAGCTTACGTGGGGACAAAAATGTAATCAACGCAATAAATAGAGTAAGCCGCGCACTCAGTACAAACACCATTAGCAAAACTTTTTTTCATGTAAATAAAGAAGCTTGTTCCTAAACGTTTTCGTCTGTATTGGCAGTAGCGGCAAGGAATGTCAGGTCGGTTTCATTGTCACGTAATTCCAAAGTATGTACTGGTTCTCGTAGCGGTGTTAGGTAGTATGAATCTTCTGTTGCTAACCATCTGGTTCAGAATAGTGATTGTCGTTCTAGTTATACTGATGATTGCTTTTCTGTTTGGTCTCGTTCACGTAGTCAAAGGTATTTGCGTGTATTGGAGTCAGTCTACATTTTTACCACCAAGCCGATTTTGTGTAGGCAGCAAAAGAATGAGTTTACGTTGAAATTGTTTGTGAATTTAGATCAGTAGTTCTCGTTTGTGGTCGCATGGTTACTTTCTAGTGGTGAATTTATCGCATCTGTTGTCACCTTATATCGTTATTGATGTAATGTTTCTTTCAGCTCTCATTTTCTCGCGCTAGTTAGGGTCTAAATTATTACTTGCATTGTGCGTATATATATTGAGATAAGAGCTATCGTTGATTTGCCAGTAATCCTCTGATGAGATGGCGACGAAAACGTTTAGGAACAAGCTTCTGTATTTACATGAAAACAAGTTTTGCTAATGGTGTTTGTACTGAGTGCGCAGCTTACTCTATTTATTGCGTTGATTTGTACTAATCGTCAAGTATTTTGCTTAGCTTTTGCATAGTAACGTCATTTGCGTGGCTTTGGTGATTTCATAATACCAGTACCATCCTGATACTGTTCCCTAGTTTAAACTGGTTGTTAACAAAATATCGCCGTCATTTTCTGCCTCATTTGGTCTATACTGCCCTTATCACTAGGACACTTATGAGTCCACCCGGTTCTGTATACAGATTGAGTAAATACCATTCTTGTCCATGTATGCCAATCCCTATTCACTTCATCTGTGGAGTGCCGTACTACTCGTAGACCAGAACCCTGAACGCTTACTTGTACCCGTAGTTTGGAGAGTATGTAGTGCTCTGACTCTCCTGGGCATAGATCTGCTCTTTGTACAATCACACGTACACATAGTCTTCCATACATGCTGTGAAGAGTACCTAACATCATGTGACATCATGTACATTATCATCGTCATGTACCACTGACGTGACGCACGTCCTTTGCCTTTGCCCTACACGTTCTATGCATCGCGGGCAGGGGGGGGGGTGTCCTCTCGATATACATGTACTACTTTCGTACTTGTGGGTGTCAGCAGTTGTGTGTGGGCTGCGCAACTCTGTCCAAAGTAGCAAAGAAACGAGTACTACCTCAAGTACTTGTTCTAGTAGTGCTAATCACAGTCACAGTACAGTGTCAGGAGTGGTTATGTCCTCTTGGTTTATGTGTTCACAAGAAGTACTCCAAATATAGTAGGTGCTCAATAGATGTAATTTGGTGTAACTACGAGGGCAAAAAATCTGGTTAAGTGAACGGACATTTTAGGTACTTGCTGAGATGCAGTTCCCTATTGTATGATGTAGTTTACGAGCGGGTTCTACAGCAGGAGGCGCCCTGTCCTAGAAATGGGGTATTATTGAAATATATTGTGTGTATACATAGGCAGTGCCCCTTACCCTGCAATGGTGCTCAAATTCACGGAATAAGCATTGGTACGCAAAGGTTGTGTTGAATGATTGGTTTTTGCCATGATTCTCTGAGTAACAACGAAACAGCCCAACTTTTATTCCTTTTGTGTACCTCTTGGATATTGTGTAGATGTGAGTTGATTGAAATTTCAAGTAGTGTACGTAAGAAATGCAATGAAAAAAAAGTTGAATGGCCACATGCATGTGAATTCTGCGTCAAATTGTATATTAACATTGATCTGATGTAAAGAACACGCACAACATCATACGGCATCGCTCAGCAAAAGGGGCTAGCAGAAAAAACAACAAAGTTGAACTTGCCTCCTTTCCACCGTTACCACCCCAGTCCTGTTAGACTTCGAAGCGTTATCTGTGGTGGACGTCAGCCTCTTCAGGGCATTGGATTTAGCACATGTTTGGTTTTATGTACATTGTTTTGGCTGTGATTTGCCCTGGTGTGTTGTGCCTATTTTTGTGCACTCTCTGATCTGCGTCCTTCTCTTGTGCCTTTTGCCATGCAGGAGGCAAGCGAGGCTTACCTGGTCGGCCTATTCGAGGACACCAACTTGTGTGCCATCCATGCTAAGCGTGTCACCATCATGCCCAAGGACATGCAGCTGGCACGTCGCATCCGTGGCGAGCGGGCATAAGCTGTTTCTGGCTCACTGATATTCATGCAATACATATCTGCTGCTTATACTCGTACACCCATATGCATGTAGCGTGCTTCTTGGACTTTGTACGAGTAGGTTTTGGTGATAGATTTTCGGTGTGTCACATCAGATCTACATGTACATCATGCAAGTTACTTTGGTCTCGTACTTAAGTGGTAGCATATCACACACCAACCTGGACACACAAGCATGCCATAATGGTTATTTTTAGTGGTTGTCTCATATTTGTCACCAATAATCCCATTTGTGGAAAAGGTATTGTTTTTGTTATTGTGAGGTCTGCATTTGACAATGAGGATATATGCGAAGTGGTGGGCCCCCGATGCGAACGAATTTTGCTTGATGTGTTCGCAAACACGTCACCTGATACGCCAGCGAATACGTGTAAATTTACTTTACTGATGCCATGGCACGAGTTGGGGGGGGGGGGGGGCGGTTGGCACAGGCGGATTATGCCGACATAAATATTGGCATAATTTGGTGGTTGAAAATGTTCAGCTCAATTTGTAATCCTTTCGGAGATTGGAGCATAAATGCATGATTGAACCAGAGTTATAGTATGTTGGCGACACAATTGTATGCAATTTACCTGATCAGTGCTGGTGGTTTGCATGGTAAAGGGTTGGGAGGTCTTGATGATAGTGTTTTCAATAAAAGGCAGGGTGGAAATCATGGCAATACATTTTTGTGCTCGAAATCAACTTCTTCAAAGTTCTGTCTCACCCTGATACAGTATATGTAGCAGAAGATACGAGTTAATCAGCCTTTATCAGGTATCACCGGGCGGACGAGAAAGTGATGGGTAGTCCGCAAAACCCCACATACATGTACACTCTGCTCGTTACGAAGTCATGACGTCTGGATCTTAGCAGCTATGACTATACACGCTATAGATATTGCTCTAATAATTAAACAAGTTGACGTATAGTTGATGTTCGGTCATGGTGGAAGGAGGGATGGAGCTATGGGAGAGTTGAGCTGATTACGACAATTCGATGGGTTAGAGTGACATCGGTTGGACGAGTATGACGATTACGAAGACAGTTGAACATGACAGTTTTCAAAGGTAACTCAAACTAATTTGGCAATCAAAAAATCTTTCAAAAGTTACGGTGAATTGAATGCCATATGAAATTTATGGGTAGGCTGCCCCCTTAAAAGATGCACCACCGGTACCGTCCTTATAGATTTGGCAGCTACCATGATTAAAAAAATAATAAGCTTCGTCTTGATCTTGCCAACAGGCCCAGGATAATGAAACCATTTAGGTGAACTAAATAGAGAGTAAAATAATTCAAAACGATTTTTTTGGAATGAATTTCGTTGCTCCTACGTTGGACCTCACGCTTTTTTGGCCGATATGACATAAATATGTCTTGACTATGAAACTTTAATACTGGTTCATAGAGTAGAAGAAACTTGTGGGTGGCTCTGGGTGGCGGTCGTGAGGCAGTCAAGGCTCAAGTCAGTTTACAGGAAAAGCAATAGCTAAAGTGTGGGAGCAACCACTTCCTCATAGGATACACACCGAAGTCGTTTCCAATATAGATGTATGTTACAGTTAGGAAAACTAGTGTGATCAAGACCAATCAATGCATTAGACTTGTCGTCCCTCAATTATAGTCGATTCAAGCCTGATTTTTTAAATAGTCATGCCCTTTGGCATAGTTCACTTAATTGCCTCACGCGTTATGGACATAGTTGAACCTTGTGTTGTATGTATGAATATGCGTACCGCAAAAAACTGAACACTATCCTCACACAGGCATTTTTCTAGTTCCATTGCGCAATTTCCTAGTTTAAGGTTAGTCAAGTAATGCTGGCATGTATGTATTCTACAGAGAAAGAGGAAATAACTGAACGAAGACTCAAGCTACTTATCCGAAGCAATAAAAACATTGCAACAGTTGCTGTCAGCACGGTTCTACTTGAAAGAAGAAAATATAAACATGTCTGGTCACAACACATTGAAGCCACGGCCACATGTAAAAGGGAACAGAAGCACATAGGTTAGGTTTTTGCCAGCTAGCTGGCCTCTGCGTACACCGCAACCACACCCACACACAACAGAAAGATACAGATCACAGTACTAGTGTGGTATTTGTTAAATCAAGGTGGAAGATGGAAGAGCTTAGCATAGTGTGTACATGAGCAAAAAAAGGGCATGCTACCTCACACATATACATGTACACTTATGTACCAGACCAACGTGATACAAAAAGTTAATCACTGTGTAAAATGGGGCTGCCGGTTAAATAACCAGCCCGAAGCTGGCAGGAAACACCCCAGGATCCCGGCGGAGGCACATCCCTGAGGAAAAACCGGTTAGAATATCCTCCTCAGATAAATGAAAAAAACTAGCTTTCAGGACCTATCCAGAAGTGAGAACTAAGGGGAGGGCGGGTGGGAAACTACAACGAAAACAGAAGGACTACGATGAAGAGAAAAATTTGAGAACCCTGAATATGGTGAAAATGCTGCCAACAAAACGCTTATTTCAGCATGAGAGGAAGTTAACACGGAATTATACTAAAGATTTTCAGCCACCATCTCATTCCGCAGTAGTGGATAATAAAATATATGGAGATGAAACACAAAAATTTGACGCAGAGAGTGATATGACTACTGCAGAAAGTAACTGATCACACAAAAATATTTTAAATAGTAGAAAGGAGTTATTTTGATAACAGCAACAGAAGCGTGCCAATTATCCAAAACGGCTTCCTACCCGGGCCACAGTTGTGTGCAATGGTGCATCAATAAGCTGTAACGGATGTTCTTTACATGTCGTCGATTTGACGACTTTGAGATGTAAACAGTCAACATATGAATCTTGCAATTTTACTATGCATTTCACTCTGTCCCCGAGCCGTAAAGTTGATCTGTACCGTTGAATGAGTCCAAGTGATTTTTTATCCATGGTAAGCGATGGCGAACAACAGCCAGTGAAGCAAATTGGCCCTACACGCTCTAGATGGGACGTTGCTTTGCTGAGCTGCTCATGCTGGCTGTAGATTGGTAAAGTCTGCGTAAGCTTTTTATCCTGCCTTGGAGTCAGAAACACCCGCGTTAGCCGCCTTCTTTCCAAAACAGGCTGCAGAACGTTGTACATCTCGCGCTCGGTCACAGCTGCATTTAATAAGCTCTTGTCTGACAAATCGGCAACGATTTGGTCAAAATTTATCTTAAACTTGTCTCTTACTTTAGCCAATATACATCTTACATGCTTGTCGGGCTGGTTAGTAGAGTCACCGGAGCTTTCGGCAGCGTTATCAGAAGGAGTGCAGACAACATCCAAACACCGACTTGGCTGGTCAGGAGAGTCACTGGATGCTTGGACAGCGTTATCAGAAGAAGTGGAGTCAACATGCAAACACTGACTTGGAGCAACATCATACAACTGTTTCTCTTCAGGCGCTGCCATCTTTACAAACAGAACAACATAAACTACAAGATCAACACTCTGTTCTCTTCTGAACCTGATAAAAAATGAGCTTGATTTTAAACAGCAAGCACTTATATACATGTTGAAGGGCATGAATCGTGCTTATGTCTGTTACGCTGCTCAAACTGGTTGCACGCACTCCACAGCGTGGGATTAATTGCGTGGATCCCGTCGTAGGTCAGGGTTCGCAGGACCGGCGCATTTAGCTTGGAGAATAATGGGCAGTTAAAATAATGGGCAGTTGGGCAATGGGCAATGGGCAGTAAAATATTGGGCAGTTTTTCTGAAAAAGCCATGAGTGCAGCCTTGGGCTGCGTGTCTTCAGCATTGAACTGACTAGCACTCATGCTGAGATCGTAGCCTTTCTCCATAGAATGATATCAGAGCCCTCTAGTTCCAACTGCAATTTACGTGAAGGTTGATGTACACGTGTCTAAACTGAAAAAAACGAGCGGTTTTCTGAACATTCAAGGAAGCCCTAACGCCACTTGTGTGCGTGGATTGATCAAGCCTGTGAGCTGGTTTCTAGTCAAGTACAGTACAATTGTCGACAAAAAATCCGTCAAGTGCTATGCTAGCTAATAATAATAGCTATGCGCTAGAGTTAGCTGGACGTGGCCGCATGCACTGACACTGCTAGTGCTAGCTTAGTGCACTGCACATACGCTGCTGCCGGTTCAGCACTCTGTGCTCGACTCGACTGCATGCAAGAGGTTGAGAGGAGTACTGTGCAGAATGTTTTAGTTCAGTGTTGTGCTGGTAGACCCTCTACGGTAAATGTATGCATGAATATAGGCGAGACACACTGACAATAGTTCCAAGAAATGGCATTATTGTAAATGCAAAGAACAAAAATAACTGTAAAAGAAGTACTCTGTTCTTATCAAATCCTTTTGAACGATTATCATGAATATCAAATGCACTCACATTATGCATTTGCGATAGCGGATGATCTTGTGTGTAGAGCTGCAGACGAAACACTTCGCACTTGATAGAGAAAGTACATGACGTGTTAGAGTCCTAGATAGCTGCGAACACTGCACTGGGTTGCGAAATGTGCAAGCCGCAAACAATGCCTCTCGATTCCATGAATAACTAACTGTCCACTAAGTCTTATTCCTAGTGAAAGTTTTTTCACTTAGTTTCTACAAAAATATCGTGTTTGAAGGTATGGGCGGGGCATTTGAGTATGTACGGGTGCCCCACCGCCACTCAAAAGGCCGTCCGTGTCTGACAACAAGTAGGGAGCCACGAATCGTAAACCACGCCTAGTCCGCTACATGTATGTGTTTCAAGTGGCAACTGCTTCAATTTGAGTGGGAAGCGAGTGTTTTTCGGTAAAATGTGACGTTTCCAATGGGCAAACCTGCAAGAGAGCACCGGTAGCACTATTATGCGCACAGTAGGCCTGAGCAACAGCCTCGTCAGTTGAGCTTGAGTGGGCTGACAATGATTGTGCTTGAAGAGAACCACATAATATCATCTCAGCAACCTGCACGCCTAGCCATTAGTAGTTAGTGCGGGGCGGGTTCTGGTGCACTTTTTGACCTTTGACCTTTGGGCCAAATAAGGCACACTGTGTCGGGCTCGTTTGGTCTGGCTCGGGGACTCCCCCAGGGTTTGACCTTTGACCTTTGGGTTAAATAAGGCACACTGTGTCGGGCGCGCTTGGTCTGGCCCCGGGACTCCCCCAGGGTTCGACCTTTGGCCCTGCCATGCCATAAATGTCATCATGTTCTTTTCCGTGGCGACCGTGCACTTGTGCACGTTCGGTGCATTCGCACCAGGGAGTAGTAAAATACGTACTACTCCCTGATTTGCACATCGTAGATGTGCAGTGAATGACATATTGCGCATGCGCGCATAAGTACGCGGAGCGTGCGACCTTCAGTGGCCCTGCGTGTGGAAAAGACGTATACACCAGGTGTACACGTGTCATTGTAGGGTGATATAGCCGACCTCATATACGCTGTACGGGGAGATTATTTCCTCAGTATGTTGTAGGCAGTGCTGGAGGTGACGTGACGATGGCGGAGCCAAGTGCAAAACGATCTAGGCAGCCCAGACAGCCCACCTCGAGTGCCGTGCGTGGGTTTTTGAAAAAGTTTTCTTTGCCAGGTTCAGGCACTGATCCTCTCGTCTTTTTCAGCAGCCATCATGACGAGCTCCGACAGGTTCTGCTCGAGGAGCTTCAGTCTCACCCTTTCAAGGTGGTTTTAGTTTTGAGGGTGGAGATGACACGAGAGTCGGCCACGGGTAGTACGTCTGCCGTCCCGTTTTTAGAAGTAGACCGGCTCGGATCCTCAGCGAAGGGGACATTGATAGTGCAGTCAAGACGATGGTGGCGAGGATCACTGGTCTTATTGATAAGTGGATGCAGAACGGATCCAACTGGACCGTTTCTCGAGTGAGACAGCTGGATGTGTCGACAGCAAAGTACACTCCTCTTCGAGGTGAGTTTCTGTTCATCCGGCAGTGTTTGTTCGAAGCCTGTCGAATTTCTTGTGGAAAGTTGTAGATGTATGTTTTGTACCAGATGTACAGTTTTTCGTGATTGTCGAGAGGGTGTAGTTGTGATGTGGTGTTACTCTGAGCAAAGCCTTCGTTGTATTTTTGTGGTGTTCTGTAGGTGGTGCAGCTGCTATCCCGCCGAAATTAGAAAAAAAGAAGGCCATCATTAACGTAAAGAACAACGATGACAGGTGTTTGATGTGGGCGTTGTTGTCAGCGCTGCACCCCGTCGAACAGAATGCTGAGCGTGCATCCAAGTACACCCAGTATGTTGATGAGCTGCGGTTCGATGGTGTGATGTTCCCTGCAACGCTCCGTGATGTACCCAAAGTGGAGTTACAGAATGGTCTTGCAATCAATGTGTTTGGCTACGAGGGGAATCTGTACCCACTCTATCTCAGCGAGCGACAGGAGACTCCAATCAACCTCCTTCTTCATGACAACCACTTCACATGGATAAAAAACTTCAGTCGTGCATGTGAGAATAAGAACAAGCGGGCAACACACTACTGCTTGCGATGCCTCTCCGCACACAAAACAGCAGACTCCCTGCAGCATCACAGCGAGAGATGTCAGGTGATGAAGCCCGTGCCAGTCGTCATGCCCACAGCAAAGGACAGAATCCTCAAATATACAAATTTGAAGCACAGGATGGTGGCTCCATACATCATTTACGCTGATACGGAGGCCATCATTGAGCCGATGGAGGAACAGCATGGCAGCAGCACTGTACGCACAGCCCGTCATGTACCATGCAGCATCAGGTATGTTTTGTTGTTGGTGTTGTTTTTGACTAATGTTTGCTGTACTCATGCCTGCACAGTGCTTCCTGTTATTCCTTCTTGTCTTGTTCTCCCCTAATTGTGTTCGTGTTGTAGTATGTGCATTTTGTGTGATTCCATTTTTTTTTTTAAATCACTCATTCTTACTTTCCTTCTTCTTTTATGCTCTTGTAGATATGCTGCCATCCGATCCAACGGTGAAGTCCGTGGCGAGTTTGACGACTGCAGTGAGAATGCCATTCACAACTTTTTCGACAGTCTCAAAGAGTTGGAAGGCAGTATCCAGGAGGATTTGGCTGATATCAAGCCAATTCGCATGACGGCAGAACTGGAGCTTGAGTTTCAGAACGCAGTCAACTGCTGGATATGTGATGAAGTACTTGGAGAAGATCGTGTTCGTGATCATGATCATCTCACTGGTAAGTATTATAATTTTTTGTTTATTTTTGTTGTTTTGCAGTTGTGTGTAGATATGCGCATGATGTGTATAGTGCATTTTCATGTCTTTGTAGCTGTTTGCATCTGTGTTTTATCATGGTGTATTGAATTGTATTGTCTGTGGTATCACCTTCACTGTAGATGTTTACCATGTTTGTGTATTCCCCTCTTTCTGAATATCTGCACAGGCAACTACCGCGGTGCTGCACACTACCAGTGTAATATTCAGCTAAGTATCTACCCAGATCGCCAGATCATTCCGGTTGTGTTTCACAACCTGAAAGGGTACGATGCTCACCACCTCATCGCCCACATTGGTATGACCGAGGTTGAAGAGGTGGAGTACGAGGACTCTAACCAGCGTAAGCGGATTAAGAAGGTTGGTGAGATCAGTGTCATCGCCAACAACATGGAGAAATATATTTCATTCAAGTGGCGTCAGTACCGCTTCATCGACTCCATGGCATTCTTGAACTCCTCTCTTGACTCGTTGGTGAGCAACACCCCGGAAGATGCGCTCAAGCTTACTCGTACATTGGCCCATCATGACCTTCTCCTGCGTAAGGGTGTCTACCCCTACGAGTACATGGACTCCTTTGCTCGGTTTGATGAGACACAGCTGCCACCTAAATCAGCATTTGAGTCTAGTTTGACTGGAGAAGGTATCAGTGATGCCGACTATGCCCATGCTCAGAACGTATGGCAGGTAAGCAGCTTGTGCCTTCTGTATTGTGCTCTACTTATGACTTTGAATGCTGTTGTGATGTGCTCTACCCATTTTTTTGTACTCATTGCTCTCTATCTGTGGATGCTTGTGTGCATGTGTGTATGGATGCTTGCGTGTGTGTGTGTGTGTGCGTTGTTGTTTTGTTTTTCGTTTTGCAGACATTTGAGTGCAGTACAATGGAGACCTATCATGACCTCTATTTGCAAACAGATGTCTATCTTCTAGCAGATGTCTTTGAGCATTTCCGCAAGACGGCATACAAGACGTATGGGTTGGATCCAGCCCATTACCTTACTCTCCCAGGTATGTTCATCAGTCTTTGTTGTTGTCCAATGTATTCTCTCCTTTAGATGGTGTTCTCTGTTAGTATTCTTGTGCTTTCTTGTCGGTGTATTTATATACTTTTTGCATGGTGTATTGACTTTCGTGTTTGTGTTCTGGTGTGTTGTATGGTGTTATGTAGGATATGCATGGGATGCTCTACTACGGTTCACCCAGATTGAACTGCAGCTGCTCACGGATGTAGACATGCATCTGTTTGTCGAAGCCGGTCTACGTGGGGGCATCTCAATGGCGTCGCAGCGGTACGGCAAGGCCAACAACCCAACGATGGATCAGTACAATTCTGCCGAGCCCACATCATACTTGCTATACCTTGATGCCAACAACCTGTATGGCTGGGCTATGTGCCAGAGTATGCCGACATCCGAGTTTGCCTGGTGTGACAAGAACCTGTCCGAGATACTGGCACACCCTGTAGATTCGAGCACTGGGTTCATTGTGGAGTGTGATCTTGAGGTACCCTCTTCGCTGCACCACTACTTCAATGATTATCCACTCGCACCGGAAGTGATGAGAACATTCTCAGATAAGCTATCACCATACCAACAAGCACTTGTGGAGGAGCTCAAAGTGTCAGCCGTAGATGGAGTCAAGTTGACACCCAGTCTCCTACCCAAGTCCAAGTATGTGTTACACTACCGTACACAGCAGCTGTATTCGCGTCTGGGCATGGTGGTGACCGCTGTTCACAAGGTGTTGGGATTTCAGCAGAGTGCCTGGATGGCTCCCTACATCAATCTGAACACTGCACTTCGCACGAGGGCTACAACCGACTTTGAGAAGAGCTTTTACAAGGTAAATGCAACCGTTGTGTGCAGTCTTGTATGTTGTTGTTGTTGTTGTTGTTGTTGTTTTTGTCGCATGTATGGTGCAAGTGTGACGTGGAGTATGCTAATTGAAAAATATGCTGATGTGAAGGAATGGCATGATATGATTCTCATGTGTCATGTTTGCCTGTTTGTGTGCTGCAGCTGATGAACAACTCAGTCTTTGGCAAGACGATGGAGAACGTTCGTAATCGAATACGCATCGATCTCTTGCGAGAAGAAAGTGAGGAGCAGGTACTGAGGGCAGTGAGCAAGCCTACATATGTGCGGCACGACATTTTCCCGAACGGGCTTGTCGGAATAGAAAAGCAGCACACTGAGATCAAGCTCAACAAGCCGGTCTATGTGGGTATGTCGATACTAGACCTGTCAAAGGTACACATGTACTCCTTCTACTACGATGTGCTGAAGGAGCAGTATGGTAGCAGAATCCGGCTGTTGTACACCGACACCGACTCTGTTATTGTGCACATCACCACCGGTGATGTTTATGCAGAGATGGATCTGTCTCTGTATGACACCAGCAACTTTCCCACTGACCATCCTCAGTACACTTCTGCCAATAAGAAAGTGGTTGGCAAATTCAAAGATGAGCTTGGTGGGAAATCCATGGTGGAGTTTGTAGGTCTAAGATCGAAGATGTACTCCTACATCGGACAGGAATCGGCCAAACGGGCCAAGGGTGTGCGAAAGGCAGTCCTGGCAAATACCATCACCCACAAGAACTATGTAGATGCACTGCTCAGTCATCGTGTGTCTTCCAGGCCTATGACGGGTCTCCGATCACATTGCCACACAGTGTATGAGGAGGTAACCACCAAGGTGGCATTGTCTCCATTCGACTGCAAGCGGTACATACTGGATGATGGCATGGCCACACTTGCATATGGTCACAAGGACATTTAATGGACAGGACCCCACATTGAACATGTTTCATCATTTTCATACAAAAACTCCCCGCCGTTCTTCTGTCATTAATTCCTCCTATCTTGGCGTGTCGGGCCGGCTCCAACAATATACATTTTTTGTTAAATATTTCAGGCTTGTGCCTCAATCATATTGCAGGATATAGTGCATCGTGCGGTATAATAATCTTCATTGTATCATCAAATATTACCCTACACACTTTGGTTTGCAGTGTGTGCACAGCATAGTCCATATATCATCAAATTGATCAAGTTCAGTATCTGCGGGCATACATTTCCCCAGCTTGAGAAAATGCTTATATACTTGCGTAAATTTATGCTCACAATGATTACATTAAAATGAGATTAACTCTGCCACACATTATATTACCAGACACTGTTGTTGTTGTTGTCGTCGTCGTTGTTGTTGTTGTTGTTGTTGTTGTTGTTGGTTGTTGTTGGCTGTTGTTGGCTGTTGTTGGCTGTTGTCGGTTGTTGTTGGTTGTTGTTGTTGGTTGTTGTTGTTGGTTGTTGTTGTTGGTTGTTGTTGTTGGTTGTTGTTGTTGGTTGTTGTTGTTGGTTGTTGTTGGTTGTTGTTGGTTGTTGTTGGTTGTTGTCGGTTGTTGTCGGTTGTTGTCAGTTGTTGTCGGTTGTTGATTGTTGTTGGTGGTTGTTGTTGGTTGTTGTTGTTGGTTGTTGTTGGTTGTTGTTGGTTGTTGTTGGCTGTTGTCGGTTGTTGTCGGTTGTTGTTGGTTGTTGTTGGTTGTTGTTGGCTGTTGTTGTTGGTTGTTGTCGGTTGTTGTTGTTGGTTGTTGTTGTTGGTTGTTGTTGGTTGTTGTTGGTTGTTGTTGTTTGTTGTTGGTTGTTGTTGGTTGTTGTTGGTTGTTGTTGGTTGTTGTTGGTTGTTGTTGGTTGTTGTTGGTTGTTGTTGGTTGTTGTTGGTTGTTGTTGGTTGTTGTTGGTTGTTGTTGGTTGTTGTTGGTTGTTGTTGTTTGTTGTCCCATGGGACAATGAAACTACAAAGGAAAGTGGCTACTGACGAGGCACCTGTGACCACGCCAATGCCTGAAACTGATGAAGCTGAGGAACGGAGGATCCTTGAGTTGGCCCTTAGCCGACTTGAGCGTGATTAACGCAGTGTTTACACTCTCCTCAGCAAATCCCATCAAATCGGAGCACATGTTGACGGGAGCTTAGAGTTGGCACTGCTCAGTAATGGCAAAATAATTTAAATGGCCGCCAAGACCTTGCTCAATAGGCGGAAGAGTCACCTGTATGCAATACGTTGTATATGTCGTGTGTGTGTATTGTATATGCATTGGGCTCGAGTAACTCAACAGCATTCGCTCAGTAACACTCAACACTCCCACCATCAAATGGGAATACACGTGTTGAAGCAAGCTTAGAATGAGCGTTACTTGGTAATAACAGAATGAACCCGATGACCTACATGTACGTAAACAGGTGGCTAAATCACTGGTACACAAATGCATTCGGCATGAGATAAGCATTAACTCGCTCATCAACTGTAATATGTTCCATGCGGTCGCCAGGTGTGTGTCTCTGCTAGGTAAATGGACGGGATAAGGTATTATGTTCAGTTCATGTTCGAGTCCGTTGTAGTTTTGACAGAGATCGAGATGTCACGCTGGCTGCTGAATTGGATGACGGCAACGCAACCCAATAGTGGTCAGGAAGTTGGTCCACGAGCTGCTGTTGTCCAACGGAAAGATGATACTAGTGATAGTGACGAAGATGAACGCAGAAGAAAGTGTTAAATTTGTTCTCAGGAAGAGGAAGAGAGTGACGATATCATCCTTGCTCCTACCTGTCATGTTGAATCCAGGATTTCTGGGTTTTGTAGGATCGTCTTGTCCAAGTCTACTCCATATCCCCAAGATCTCTTTTTCCCAAACACCATCATCGTCGCCATCAGCATGAGCCGACCAGAACCGACGCTTGCGTGGCAACGATCCTACAAAACCCAGAAATCCTGGATTCAACATGACAGGTAGGAGCAAGGATGATATCGTCACTCTCTTCCTCTTCCTGAGAACAAATTTAACACTTTCTTCTGCGTTCATCTTCGTCACTATCACTAGTATCATCTTTCCGTTGGACAACAGCAGCTCGTGGACCAACTTCCTGACCACTATTGGGTTGCGTTGCCGTCATCCAATTCAGCAGCCAGCGTGACATCTCGATCTCTGTCAAAACTACAACGGACTCGAACATGAACTGAACATAATACCTTATCCCGTCCATTTACCTAGCAGAGACACACACCTGGCGACCGCATGGAACATATTACAGTTGATGAGTGAGTTAATGCTTATCTCATGCCGAATGCATTTGTGTACCAGTGATTTAGCCACCTGTTTACGTACATGTAGGTCATCGGGTTCATTCTGTTATTACCAAGTAACGCTCATTCTAAGCTTGCTTCAACACGTGTATTCCCATTTGATGGTGGGAGTGTTGAGTGTTACTGAGCGAATGCTGTTGAGTTACTCGAGCCCAATGCATATACAATACACACACACGACATATACAACGTATTGCATACAGGTGACTCTTCCGCCTATTGAGCAAGGTCTTGGCGGCCATTTAAATTATTTTGCCATTACTGAGCAGTGCCAACTCTAAGCTCCCGTCAACATGTGCTCCGATTTGATGGGATTTGCTGAGGAGAGTGTAAACACTGCGTTAATCACGCTCAAGTCGGCTAAGGGCCAACTCAAGGATCCTCCGTTCCTCAGCTTCATCAGTTTCAGGCATTGGCGTGGTCACAGGTGCCTCGTCAGTAGCCACTTTCCTTTGTAGTTTCATTGTCCCATGGGACAACAAACAACAACAACCAACAACAACCAACAACAACCAACAACAACCAACAACAACCAACAACAACCAACAACAACCAACAACAACCAACAACAACCAACAACAACCAACAACAACCAACAACAACCAACAACAACCAACAACAACCAACAACAACCAACAACAACCAACAACAACCAACAACAACAACCAACAACAACAACCGACAACAACCAACAACAACAGCCAACAACAACCAACAACAACCAACAACAACCGACAACAACCGACAACAGCCAACAACAACCAACAACAACCAACAACAACCAACAACAACAACCAACAACAACCACCAACAACAATCAACAACCGACAACAACTGACAACAACCGACAACAACCGACAACAACCAACAACAACCAACAACAACCAACAACAACCAACAACAACAACCAACAACAACAACCAACAACAACAACCAACAACAACAACCAACAACAACAACCAACAACAACAACCAACAACAACCGACAACAGCCAACAACAGCCAACAACAGCCAACAACAACCAACAACAACAACAACAACAACAACAACAACGACGACGACAACAACAACAACAGTGTCTGGTAATATAATGTGTGGCAGAGTTAATCTCATTTTAATGTAATCATTGTGAGCATAAATTTACGCAAGTATATAAGCATTTTCTCAAGCTGGGGAAATGTATGCCCGCAGATACTGAACTTGATCAATTTGATGATATATGGACTATGCTGTGCACACACTGCAAACCAAAGTGTGTAGGGTAATATTTGATGATACAATGAAGATTATTATACCGCACGATGCACTATATCCTGCAATATGATTGAGGCACAAGCCTGAAATATTTAACAAAAAATGTATATTGTTGGAGCCGGCCCGACACGCCAAGATAGGAGGAATTAATGACAGAAGAACGGCGGGGAGTTTTTGTATGAAAATGATGAAACATGTTCAATGTGGGGTCCTGTCCATTAAATGTCCTTGTGACCATATGCAAGTGTGGCCATGCCATCATCCAGTATGTACCGCTTGCAGTCGAATGGAGACAATGCCACCTTGGTGGTTACCTCCTCATACACTGTGTGGCAATGTGATCGGAGACCCGTCATAGGCCTGGAAGACACACGATGACTGAGCAGTGCATCTACATAGTCCTTGTGGGTGATGGTATTTGCCAGGACTGCCTTTCGCACACCCTTGGCCCGTTTGGCCGATTCCTGTCCGATGTAGGAGTACATCTTCGATCTTAGACCTACAAACTCCACCATGGATTTCCCACCAAGCTCATCTTTGAATTTGCCAACCACTTTCTTATTGGCAGAAGTGTACTGAGGATGGTCAGTGGGAAAGTTGCTGGTGTCATACAGAGACAGATCCATCTCTGCATAAACATCACCGGTGGTGATGTGCACAATAACAGAGTCGGTGTCGGTGTACAACAGCCGGATTCTGCTACCATACTGCTCCTTCAGCACATCGTAGTAGAAGGAGTACATGTGTACCTTTGACAGGTCTAGTATCGACATACCCACATAGACCGGCTTGTTGAGCTTGATCTCAGTGTGCTGCTTTTCTATTCCGACAAGCCCGTTCGGGAAAATGTCGTGCCGCACATATGTAGGCTTGCTCACTGCCCTCAGTACCTGCTCCTCACTTTCTTCTCGCAAGAGATCGATGCGTATTCGATTACGAACGTTCTCCATCGTCTTGCCAAAGACTGAGTTGTTCATCAGCTGCAGCACACAAACAGGCAAACATGACACATGAGAATCATATCATGCCATTCCTTCACATCAGCATATTTTTCAATTAGCATACTCCACGTCACACTTGCACCATACATGCGACAAAAACAACAACAACAACAACAACAACAACATACAAGACTGCACACAACGGTTGCATTTACCTTGTAAAAGCTCTTCTCAAAGTCGGTTGTAGCCCTCGTGCGAAGTGCAGTGTTCAGATTGATGTAGGGAGCCATCCAGGCACTCTGCTGAAATCCCAACACCTTGTGAACAGCGGTCACCACCATGCCCAGACGCGAATACAGCTGCTGTGTACGGTAGTGTAACACATACTTGGACTTGGGTAGGAGACTGGGTGTCAACTTGACTCCATCTACGGCTGACACTTTGAGCTCCTCCACAAGTGCTTGTTGGTATGGTGATAGCTTATCTGAGAATGTTCTCATCACTTCCGGTGCGAGTGGAAAATCATTGAAGTAGTGGTGCAGCGAAGAGGGTACCTCAAGATCACACTCCACAATGAACCCAGTGCTCGAATCTACAGGGTGTGCCAGTATCTCGGACAGGTTCTTGTCACACCAGGCAAACTCGGATGTCGGCATACTCTGGCACATAGCCCAGCCATACAGGTTGTTGGCATCAAGGTATAGCAGGTATGATGTGGGCTCGGCAGAATTGTACTGATCCATCGTTGGGTTGTTGGCCTTGCCGTACCGCTGCGACGCCATTGAGATGCCCCCACGTAGACCGGCTTCGACAAACAGATGCATGTCTACATCCGTGAGCAGCTGCAGTTCAATCTGGGTGAACCGTAGTAGAGCATCCCATGCATATCCTACATAACACCATACAACACACCAGAACACAAACACGAAAGTCAATACACCATGCAAAAAGTATATAAATACACCGACAAGAAAGCACAAGAATACTAACAGAGAACACCATCTAAAGGAGAGAATACATTGGACAACAACAAAGACTGATGAACATACCTGGGAGAGTAAGGTAATGGGCTGGATCCAACCCATACGTCTTGTATGCCGTCTTGCGGAAATGCTCAAAGACATCTGCTAGAAGATAGACATCTGTTTGCAAATAGAGGTCATGATAGGTCTCCATTGTACTGCACTCAAATGTCTGCAAAACGAAAAACAAAACAACAATGCACACACACACACACACGCAAGCATCCATACACACATGCACACAAGCATCCACAGATAGAGAGCAATGAGTACAAAAAAATGAGTAGAGCACATCACAACAGCATTCAAAGTCATAAGTAGAGCACAATACAGAAGGCACAAGCTGCTTACCTGCCATACGTTCTGAACATGGGCATAGTCGGCATCACTGATACCTTCTCCAGTCAAACTAGACTCAAATGCTGATTTAGGTGGCAGCTGTGTCTCATCAAACCGAGCAAAGGAGTCCATGTACTCGTAGGGGTAGACACCCTTACGCAGGAGAAGGTCATGATGGGCCAATGTACGAGTAAGCTTGAGCGCATCTTCCGGGGTGTTGCTCACCAACGAGTCAAGAGAGGAGTTCAAGAAGGCCATGGAGTCGATGAAGCGGTACTGACGCCACTTGAATGAAATATATTTCTCCATGTTGTTGGCGATGACACTGATCTCACCAACCTTCTTAATCCGCTTACGCTGGTTAGAGTCCTCGTACTCCACCTCTTCAACCTCGGTCATACCAATGTGGGCGATGAGGTGGTGAGCATCGTACCCTTTCAGGTTGTGAAACACAACCGGAATGATCTGGCGATCTGGGTAGATACTTAGCTGAATATTACACTGGTAGTGTGCAGCACCGCGGTAGTTGCCTGTGCAGATATTCAGAAAGAGGGGAATACACAAACATGGTAAACATCTACAGTGAAGGTGATACCACAGACAATACAATTCAATACACCATGATAAAACACAGATGCAAACAGCTACAAAGACATGAAAATGCACTATACACATCATGCGCATATCTACACACAACTGCAAAACAACAAAAATAAACAAAAAATTATAATACTTACCAGTGAGATGATCATGGTCACGAACACGATCTTCTCCAAGTACTTCATCACATATCCAGCAGTTGACTGCGTTCTGAAACTCAAGCTCCAGTTCTGCCGTCATGCGAATTGGCTTGATATCAGCCAAATCCTCCTGGATACTGCCTTCCAACTCTTTGAGACTGTCGAAAAAGTTGTGAATGGCATTCTCACTGCAGTCGTCAAACTCGCCACGGACTTCACCGTTGGATCGGATGGCAGCATATCTACAAGAGCATAAAAGAAGAAGGAAAGTAAGAATGAGTGATTTAAAAAAAAAAATGGAATCACACAAAATGCACATACTACAACACGAACACAATTAGGGGAGAACAAGACAAGAAGGAATAACAGGAAGCACTGTGCAGGCATGAGTACAGCAAACATTAGTCAAAAACAACACCAACAACAAAACATACCTGATGCTGCATGGTACATGACGGGCTGTGCGTACAGTGCTGCTGCCATGCTGTTCCTCCATCGGCTCAATGATGGCCTCCGTATCAGCGTAAATGATGTATGGAGCCACCATCCTGTGCTTCAAATTTGTATATTTGAGGATTCTGTCCTTTGCTGTGGGCATGACGACTGGCACGGGCTTCATCACCTGACATCTCTCGCTGTGATGCTGCAGGGAGTCTGCTGTTTTGTGTGCGGAGAGGCATCGCAAGCAGTAGTGTGTTGCCCGCTTGTTCTTATTCTCACATGCACGACTGAAGTTTTTTATCCATGTGAAGTGGTTGTCATGAAGAAGGAGGTTGATTGGAGTCTCCTGTCGCTCGCTGAGATAGAGTGGGTACAGATTCCCCTCGTAGCCAAACACATTGATTGCAAGACCATTCTGTAACTCCACTTTGGGTACATCACGGAGCGTTGCAGGGAACATCACACCATCGAACCGCAGCTCATCAACATACTGGGTGTACTTGGATGCACGCTCAGCATTCTGTTCGACGGGGTGCAGCGCTGACAACAACGCCCACATCAAACACCTGTCATCGTTGTTCTTTACGTTAATGATGGCCTTCTTTTTTTCTAATTTCGGCGGGATAGCAGCTGCACCACCTACAGAACACCACAAAAATACAACGAAGGCTTTGCTCAGAGTAACACCACATCACAACTACACCCTCTCGACAATCACGAAAAACTGTACATCTGGTACAAAACATACATCTACAACTTTCCACAAGAAATTCGACAGGCTTCGAACAAACACTGCCGGATGAACAGAAACTCACCTCGAAGAGGAGTGTACTTTGCTGTCGACACATCCAGCTGTCTCACTCGAGAAACGGTCCAGTTGGATCCGTTCTGCATCCACTTATCAATAAGACCAGTGATCCTCGCCACCATCGTCTTGACTGCACTATCAATGTCCCCTTCGCTGAGGATCCGAGCCGGTCTACTTCTAAAAACGGGACGGCAGACGTACTACCCGTGGCCGACTCTCGTGTCATCTCCACCCTCAAAACTAAAACCACCTTGAAAGGGTGAGACTGAAGCTCCTCGAGCAGAACCTGTCGGAGCTCGTCATGATGGCTGCTGAAAAAGACGAGAGGATCAGTGCCTGAACCTGGCAAAGAAAACTTTTTCAAAAACCCACGCACGGCACTCGAGGTGGGCTGTCTGGGCTGCCTAGATCGTTTTGCACTTGGCTCCGCCATCGTCACGTCACCTCCAGCACTGCCTACAACATACTGAGGAAATAATCTCCCCGTACAGCGTATATGAGGTCGGCTATATCACCCTACAATGACACGTGTACACCTGGTGTATACGTCTTTTCCACACGCAGGGCCACTGAAGGTCGCACGCTCCGCGTACTTATGCGCGCATGCGCAATATGTCATTCACTGCACATCTACGATGTGCAAATCAGGGAGTAGTACGTATTTTACTACTCCCTGGTGCGAATGCACCGAACGTGCACAAGTGCACGGTCGCCACGGAAAAGAACATGATGACATTTATGGCATGGCAGGGCCAAAGGTCGAACCCTGGGGGAGTCCCGGGGCCAGACCAAGCGCGCCCGACACAGTGTGCCTTATTTAACCCAAAGGTCAAAGGTCAAACCCTGGGGGAGTCCCCGAGCCAGACCAAACGAGCCCGACACAGTGTGCCTTATTTGGCCCAAAGGTCAAAGGTCAAAAAGTGCACCAGAACCCGCCCCGCACTAACCACTGCCATTGCGAGGTATACAAGCCGCATCATTTCGAGGGAGACACACTCGTCGTGAACACAACACTAACTTCAAAAGATGACAGCATGAGCAAGCGTCGCTAATGCCTAGGTAGAACAGATCCTGAGGACCATCGGACATCAGTCATTACCAACGCTGTCACCGACAAACAAACTACTACTAGTAGTAGTAGTCCCGATCCCCGCTCTGCGCACTGTAGTGCAACGAACTAGCGGCAGCGATTCAGGTCTGATTGTAAGTACCTGGAGCCTTTAGCATGGAGCACCAGATTGCCTTTTAGACAGAGTTGAACTTTAGGTTATATCTTGACTTATACTGAGCTTGTATACAAACTCCCATCTCTTCCCACACAACACTTTAGACTTGTATTTTCCATATAACATGGTACTTCGATGAAGAGAATATAGACTGGTGTATAGGTATCTATTATTGCACGATTAAAGAGGTCAATATATGAAATATAGAACGAGTAAAAGACCGAGGTCCCCCGAGGTCTTTTACGAGGTCTATATTTCATATATTGACCGATTATGAGGGCAATAATAGATTTATCACGACATAGCATACCTAAAACTGTTTTTGCTTTGCTATAGGAAGAAAGGAATACTATTGTAATAGTATAATAGTATTATGCCGTTTACATTGGATATTACGTCTGTGTAAACCGAAGTTTTCAGTTGTCTCTTGTAGTATGTTCCCTAAGTTCTTTGACTGAGAATCTGACAGTTTGGGTTCAAATCCCAGTACTTGGCTTCCGATTTTTTCTTCTTTCAGTTCTGATTTCTTTCTAAGTTGAGGAAAAAGTTCTAAGTCCTCGGGCTAAGTAATTATTAACTTCTGTGTAAACCGAAGTTTTCAGTTGTCTCTTGTAGTATGTTCCCTAAGTTCTTTGACTGAGAATCTGACAGTTTGGGTTCAAATCCCAGTACTTGGCTTCAGATTTTTCTTTTTTCAGTTCTGATTTCTTTCTAAGTTGAGGAAAAAGTTCTAAGTCCTCGGGCTAAGTGGTCAATAATAAGTGGTCAATATAAGCGGTCAATATATGCTGATATTTGGCCGCTTAGAGATCACAAGTTTCTGTGGGGGTCAATAATAAGAGAGTGATAAACTGGTGTATAAACTGGTATATAAACTGGTATATAAACTCCTTTTTTTTTAGGATCAGACTAGGGCAACAGTAAGAAAGATGAGCGATGAAGGACCAATGATGAGGACTGGATAGTAATTCAGCATTTGTGAAGTTTAGTTATGGCAGAAAATAACACTGGGGTAGGGTGGAATAGTACGGTAGCAACAGAAGAAAGCAGGCTTGAGCTCAAGTATATCAAAATGCTGCACTAGGCCATTTCAGTTGTCGAGAGTGGGAAAACCTCCGTCTCTGCGCCAAAACAATGGTTAAGAGTGCTTGCGCTTCAGCATAGCTCGGGCTTTGGAGGCACGCTCAGCATGTATATTGAACGTAATTGGACAGTTAAGAAATGCTGATGAACCAGTTGCATTGAGGTAGGGTGAAATGGCAGCAGACGACATAGTCGTTGACTGGTTATGCATACAAGTACCAGTAGCCAAAGAAACGCTATCAGCAGCAGCAGAATCAGAGCTACATGTAGCAGAAGCTTGCTAACGAGAAATTGCAGCAGCCATAGAAACAGAATCACTCACCGATGGCTGATCGTAGGCTTCTAACGACTATACATTCCGGTGGCCAGACACACTGCAGATTTGGCGATCTTGTATGCCGGCTTGCTTCAGGTGCGTGATCGAAGTAGACCGTACACAATGGTTGGTGTAAGGCTGGGACAAACCAGCTGCGGATGACAAACGCTTCATCATCGTGGACAGCAAGTTATGCGATAGGGCAGATTTGGCAAACCAACAGGGAGTTTCGTTTGAGAGCTCACGTTTACCCATGGCACGCTGGAAAATTCGATCAACATCTGGGTGTAGTTTGGAGACGTACCGTTTGATAGCTGCTATCTGCTGCGGGTCTTCAATTACTCCGGCAGATGACCAGTCCGTGCCCCGCAGTCCGCCTTGATGGTTTTTTGACATGTACGACGGTCCCAGCTTCAGGATCTCTTTCCCGTCAACAGTGAAGAAGACGAGGTCGTCCTTTTTGATGGCCGCTTGCATTTCACCTCCACGAAGGCAAAAGTGCAACGTCAGATGGAACCATACGTAATAGGTAAGTTTCACTGCGTCGTTGGTGTCGTCCATGCCGCTGAAATATTCCTGTAGCAGCTTCCAGTCCGCCTCAGATATTGGTGCCTTGTGCTGCAACTGCCGTTCGAGGCCGTCCTTCTTTCGCTGTTTCAGCACTCCGTCAAGAACTTTGTTGGCCCTTGAGAAGATCTGGTCGTTGAAGATGTTGATAGTCTGCCCAGCAGTCGACAGGTGCCGCTGAAGAGCCCCGCGTGCCGCTTTGAGACTATTCTTGGAGAAGGGCGAGCCGTCCTGCGTTTTCGCATCGACATAGAATGCAGCTAGCAGGGGTGACAGAACTTCACCACTGACGGTTTTCCAATCGATGACCTCCTCCTGTCCGCGTCCCTCGCAGAACTGCCGGAACATGCGCAACCAATAATCAGTGGCACTGCGAGTTTTCTTGGGAACTGCCGCTTGAATAATGGCATCGTGGTCAGCCTCCGTGGAAGAACCTAAGCGACGTTTGGGAGTTGATTCAACCGTCTCGGGCTGACTCATTAGGGATCGAGATTCAACAGGCTCGGCCTGACTCATTAGGGATCGAGATTCAACAGGCTCGGGCTGACTCATTAGGGATCGAGACTCAACAGGCTCGGCCTGACTCATTAGGGATCGAGATTCAACAGGCTCGGGCTGACTCATTAGGGATCGAGATTCAACAGGCTCGGCCTGACTCATTAGGGATCGAGATGCAACGGGCTCGGGCTGACTCATTAGGGATCGAGATGCAACAGGCTCGGGCTGACTCATTTTGCTCTTTCTTTGGAAAGGAGACGGACTCTAATGACCAAACAATAGTGGTCCTTAGTTCTTTTACCGAGCCCGAGGTGAGATCTGCGCCCGGTAACGGTCACTTTTCGTTCAAACTTGGCGCGTAGCGGTTACTTCCGATGTAGCGTCTTCTCCAAGGTCGTCATCTCTGCGGTACGACTCATCAACCCCGCTCCAGCACTGAAGCTTTGGGGGGTCCGACCGGTGACCAAGGCAACTGAACTAGTCACAACGCGTGTGCGTGATCACTGGTGATGGCTGTGCACTAGTTGTAGTAACTGTTGCACTACTTGCTCCGTACAGGTACGGTGAAAGAGAGACTCGTCGAGCCATGGCTGTGGCCCTGTGTGGGTAGGAACTCCAAGACGAACTTCTCTACCTTTGTGGGAGAGATGGGAGTTTGTATATCAGCTCAGTATAAGCATAATATAGCCTACTCAGTTGATTATATGGGAAATATGTATAGATTATAGACCGGTTAGGAGGTCTATACAGGATATATATTATAGACCGAGTAAAAGACCGAGGTCCCCCGAGGTCTTTTACGAGGTCTATATATCCTGTATAGACCAACTATGAGGTCTATTATCTATTTATCGTGTTCTCCACGCAATAGTTTCTCTTCATATACGACATATCCTTGTAATTCTAGTATTATACTATAGCCTATACTGCATTGTACTGCATTGAAAGTCAAGATCATTGTTTAAACTAGGTTCAGCATCGGTAGCACAGTGGCTGGGTGGTAAGGAAGAGTGACTGAGATTCACAAGGTTGTGGGTTCAAATCCCATCTTGTGTATTTCTGCTTTCTTCAAAAATTTCTTTTTCTAAGTTGGAGAGAAAATTTCTAAGTCCAAGAAGTTCTAAGGAGTCAAATATAAGTAGTCAAATATATCGTGTATTTGACTAAGCAGTCAAATACGCGATATATTTGACCGCTTAGGTATCAGGGAAATTAGTGGGGTCAAATACTAAGAAGGCGATAAAAACCAATATACAAACCTCGGCTTCCCCTCGGTTTGTATACAGGTTTAAATTTGCCATATAATCAACTGGTTAGGTTATAATATTATACTTATAAAGAAGAGGCACCTGTGACGTGTGTTTGTCTGTGTGTCTCGCTTAGGCCATGCTGCGGAGCAGCGCTGCCCTGAGCACGCGAAGCGTGCGAACAGTGTAGCTAGCGGCCGCAGAAGCACTGAGCACGCGAAGCG